AGCCAGACACGACTACCTAGGACCCAGCAGCACCTCTATCAAGCTTCACCGCCTCAATTCCACGAAGTGTCTCGGGACGTCCCCTTGCAGTTCTAGAAGGAAACCTGGGCTCAACACGGCCGGGCAAATCCTAGACATGTTTCTCAACAGCATGAAGCGGATCGCACGCCATACTTCGGTTGATAGACTGAACGCTACACTGCCCGCCCGCAACTGACTGTCTACATGCTCGGATAAGGAGGGGAAAATGACTTGTGGCCCAGAGACTCAAAGTCGGACTTTCAGCATGCAGGACGGAAAGTCTAATTCGGAGTATACCTTTTTAACAAAGTTTCCGCCGGTGGGAGGGCCGCGAAATTTGACGTGTCACAACAAGAACGGGCAAAAGTTTCGCAGTGTCAATCGCTATGAGAGTCCTCCAAGTTCGTTGTCGTCGCCCTCGCGAGATATGCGAAAATTGGATCCTTGATATAACCCTTTCTCGCCGCTGCCGTCACACAATGTCCGCCGGTCCCAGTGGAGCTATCCACCGGAGCTGGCGAGATGCACACGGAAGGGTGGCCGAGTTGGTTATGGCGCCAGGTTAAGGTCAGCTTAACATCTGTTTCCTGGTGGGGCAACCCGCGCGAGTTCGAGTCTCGTCCCTTTCAATTTTTGTGGTCTTGGGGTGATATTCGTATGAGGATGGTTGGAATTTCATACTTTTATGCCGTGCTGGTCTCGTATGTGTCTTGTACATACTGAGTATTGTCCAATGAGTGATTGCTGGGGAGTTTGGCGTGTTCTGTATCTAGCTATGTCCTCTGAATTTTGACAACGGAGCCACTTTGTCCCAATGACCAAGCGATCCACTTCCAAGTATAGACGACTATGTTTTGAAACTGTTAATGGCTTATTGTATGAGTTGTCGTTTCTTGTGTACTTCCTCATTCCTTGGGAGGAGTACTTTTCCTTTTCATGCACTAACAATTTCAATGAGACAAATCAATGTTAGCCAATATTTCAGTCTCAAATGTGTGTGGCCCTCGTCAAGAACCAGCCGCCCGTTTGCGCGTAGGCGTGATATTCTGCGCACAAGTACAAAGACTCGAAATCCTTTTTGTGTCACTTTCCCCAGTATCTTGATGCGTGTACGAGAAATCCTTATTATAACATCATCTGTCTCCCTTTCCTCCGAACAAACGTATCGTATCAGCCAACGCCCCCAGGATCTAAATAAAGACTTGAATAGACCTCCACCTCCGGAGACCGTCACACAAAACTCCGGGCCGCAAACACGGGAACCACGGGAAATGTGGAAAGTCTTCCGGTCGATGGATACGTCCTCGGGCCCCGTTGCGGTCCGTGAAGTTCGGGAGCATTGTTCAGTATCAAGGTTGCGGCCCGGTGTCTCTTCCCGAAGTTGACGATTCTCCGGGAGGGTGTTTGCGTTGCGCAAGGTGCGGTGAGACTGAGAGAATACGGGTGGTTTTCAGCTCCACAAAGCGCAAAGAGACAACTTTGGTATTGCTAATGCGGTCAAGTGATCAGCGTAAGCAACAAATTGCTTTAATTTTGGATATCGACATTCTCACCGGCGACTGAATGGTAGCTGCTGCCATCAGCTGATGCTCGAAATGCCCGTAAACCTGGAATTACCTCACACGAACATGTTACACAAAAGTCACGACAATAGGGCTGAAGCAGACCCCGACCTGGCTGGACGGAATCTTTCCCTCTTTACGCTTCCCGATCGGAACAGTCGTATCGACTAAAGTTGTAGTGGGATGGTACTCGTGTGTAACCCCAAACCCCAAAGCACTCGATCCTGTCTCCTTGTCGTTTCCTCCTACAATTGAGCAGGTGAGCTTGCTCCTGTGAGGTTCGTGACACAGACGCGTAGTAGCGTGCATTGCGATGAGATCTCCATCTAGAGGGAAGTGTGGGGAGTGGTTCGAGCAAATGGGGAAACGAGGGTGAGAGAGGGAGAGAAGGAGAAGAGAAAGAGCTGGTGGTGGGATAGGGGGAACGTAGGTTTTGGGCTTGACCTGGCAAGATTAGGTCAACCATCCCAACGGTACCCAACCAGAGATGAGGGGAACCAGGTCCGTCTCAACGATGATTTGTGTATGCGTTGTACGCTTTGAGCCAGACGTATGTCTACGGCCGAATCGCATTGGACAGATGGCCTGTTTGTAGCAGGCAACCTCGAAACACTTTCGGCTTTCAGAGTGGGTATGCTGAATGCCGCAAGCGGATCCGCGCCGGCATTTTGAGATTGCTGTTGTTGTTCATGTCTCTTCGTGGGCTAATTGATGCCAATCCACTGGAGTAGTAACTGAAATATCTGTGGGCAGGCGGTTCAGCGGGAGAAAGAAAAGCAACAGCATACAAGCGGCACTCTACTCATGAACATGTGTGCTTGTCCGCGATTACAGGAGTAGGCTAGCCCCGCCAAGCAAACCAAGCTGGATCATGTTTGGCAACTTGCCATGGCTTTTTGGTGGGTTGGTCGGCACTATGCCGAGTAAGTCGAGCGGCATCAGAAATGTCCAGTTGGAACTACTTCGTGATCGCCACGTTACGTGCAGGCATGTTGGCGTTTCATGGGTCGGCATCTGATGGCCATCTCGTCGTGGGGCTAGGGCTGTGGAGTGGTAACTTAATCACACCGAGCCAAGTGACGAGGCGTACACCGGTCTACGGGAAGCCGGCCAAGATGGGATAATGGGGTTAGAATCGGCGATCGGATTTGGGAACATCAAGCGTGGTACGTTACCTGAAGAGCCCGTTGGCTGGTGGAAAGTTGATGACCCGGTATCAGTGGGTTCATGATTGATCCGTCAGTCCTTTGAAATCATTCTAGAACATGCATTTAATATCACTAATGGACTTGATGCCAGAGCAGTCCATAGCATGTTCATTTGCGAGAAGCCCAACGAGCACACAACCCTTCCCATTGACATGCAGATGCAGCCGGCATGCTACGTTGTGTCATCACAAGCCAACGCGTTCATGATGGAATGACGAAGATCATTCTCTGGCGATATGGCAAACATTTTCCAAACACCGTTGAGGGATTTGATCTTCCTTACGGCCGGGTGTAGAAGCGTTGGATGTTGGAATGGATGGCAGCCTAGGCCCCAGGGTACGATATGCTATGCCGCACCCAACCCTGCTTATTGAAGCGAGCGAACGAAAGACAACAGGGACGTGTGAGGCCGGTCTAATTCCGCGCTACCCTTGAAAGAGCATCCAGACTCGCCAAAGCTCACTATTTCTGCCATGGCATTGCTTTGCGGCTTGCTGCCAGCCTCCCGGAAGATGGGGGGATATTGTGCCGAGTGGCCTGCCTACCCGTCGAGGTAGCAGGTGATTGGCAATGTAAGTATCCTCGTCAGCCAAGATTCACCCAGAGGAAATTTTATCCTTGAAAGATCCCGGCACCATGAAAGACAGCATGCCGAGAGGAATGTTGCAAGCCTCTGAAGCTCTTGTCCGGTATCAGCCGCAGCCGACCAACTTTGCCTTCTGGAAATATCGATGTACGCCGGAATAAGTCACAAGGCGTTCCAACAGCTCAGAACCATACCAGTTCCAATGACGCCAACAATGGCCGGCGCCGGAGTTAGTGGCCTGGCAGGGGCTGTGTGATTTACCGGGGTGAGTGAAAGGGGATCTCTTCATCTTGCTTAAGAAAATTCGGGAAGGGTAAAATGCATCAGGGGAAGGGGTGGGAAGGACCGAAGGAGTGGTTCGTGGCTGGGATATCCGAGACTCGATCCAACTCATTCGGTACGGGTTGCCGCTGGGGTACGACGGGCGGTGCGATCCCTCGGCCGGCTTGTGTGGTTGAGAAGCACAGGGGCCGAAGGCGTTGGACAATAGCAACGTTGCCCCGCACACATCCGAGAACAATGTCAATCGGGGGGCTCCACCGTGCCACCACAATGGAAAGAGGCGTTCGGCAAAGTGGGTCGATGCTCCGAGTGGTCCTCCCCCTCCGGCTTCCGCACCCCCCTACTCTACGCCCATCCAGCAATGCAGCTTTCCGGGGAGAACAATAAACTGGTAATGCCATTCAGCCGTGTGAAGTGTCAAACTTTCCTTTAGTGTTGGCCGGCTTTTAGGTACGTAGGAGACAGGGGTGTGTTGCTCCCATTGGCAAATGTCGTAGAGAGGACCGGACATCTTCCGCCTTGCCCTGTTCAGGCATGGGGGCATGTCCCTCGCCATGTGGGCACTTGCTCTTTTGAGGATGTTATCTGGGTTAATTTGTTCCTTCGATCGGCGTGTTTTTGACGCAACAAGCATCGTCGGGATCCGCCACACCCTTGTTCTGGCTCCGAATGCTTGGGTCTCGTTTCGCTGTCAGTTACCACAAAGGTGTGGTCCGAGCAAGAGAAGTAGAGAGGAGGCCTGATTTAAACGGAGATTTGCGGGAAGCCGGCCCAACCCATCCTACTCTGGGAGCTCAAACAAGCTCACCGTGGCTGGTAGTGGTTGGATTCTAGCTTTTGCGCTTACACCGTGTGTCTGTGAAAGAATGTCCCAGGTGGAGCTGGACAGCGAAAAGTGAGAGATGATGGATTGTTGATGAGTGATGGAACGGAGCCCATTGTGCTTACCTGGTGTTTTCTTCGGCCTACCCACTGAAATGGGGAGGCACTGCCCATTCGAACGTTCCGTTCTACCAACTGAACAGGGAAAGCTGAGTTTCAATGTTACTTCTCACGTCTGGCGTCTTTCTGTCACATCTCCGCTAAAGAAACCTGGTCTTACCTTGAATGTGTTGTCATATGCCTAGGGAAGTGGTTATATATCGACTACTACTGCTTCTCCTTCTCATCTCACATACGCTTTGCATCTTGTTCCACTCCACGTCTTCATTTTGAGAAAAAGTCGAAAGATAAAACGACTTCAGGCATCTCTATCAGCTTGCAAAAAACTTGGACGTTGAAGACACAGCTGCGTGCCTTACCTCATCACCACTTATTCTCTACGCATCGCCATAACCGAAGATGGCTTCATCCACCGAAAGCGCCCAGACCCAACACCTTGCTCTACTGTCAGGCCTCCATGCTCTGACGATACCCAAGGATAATGATCCCTGGAGACAACCTCAGCCTCCAGCATACTCTCCGCAGGCACAACCGACGGTCTTTGGCAGCATCGCATCCCACTTTGTAAGACGAGATATCACTCACGAGAGCCAATACAGTCAACGGATCTGTCATCTTCCCCAAGGCTCGATCTTAGATGCCGACGAGGAAGGGGAAGAGGAAGAACCATCACCCATTTCTCTGCGTATCTCAACAAGAATCGACGTGGCCAGCGATAGCAACCTCATCGCCCTGCCCTATTCGCCTGCGGCACAGGCAAATTCCATCGCAAAAGCGGTAGTCGATGCCATTTATGAGAGAGATTGGACAGCGGGGTGCCCCTTGATAGATGAAAATGGGCGGTCAAGACCATTGAAGCTGGAAGTTGATGCAGGTATCACTGTGAGGGGATCGTCAAATGTCATCGGCACGGAAGCAGTCATCGCAGAGTTCCTTCGTCGTGGAACGTACACACAGAAGAACCCAACCAACCGACAACCCCGGAGACAGTCTACCGATTCCACGGCGTCTCCTTCATCGCCAAATCGGAGAAGGCCGGCCTCAGAGCTAGATGCACCAGAGCACCCAGTATACAAGCGCGCTCGGAGTGAGGAGTGAGTCTAAGTCCGTCTGTGTCTGGGTTCTTCTCGAGCAATGCTTCTTTGAATTCGGCGGTTCAGCTTTAGTGGCAATGGTAGGATGAAGGGAACACAGAGGCATGTCAAGCTGAGCCCGTTGATCTTCAGGGGGACCTTAGTGGTGCTCGCCTGTCAGTGTCACTATGTGTCGCTGTTGGTGTAACGGCGGTGCAAAGCTATAAGGATCTCGCACAACCTATGTACCACTGGGATTGAGGAAAATAATAGTGCCGAGGAATGGGTGGGATTAGAGGGAGCCGTCTAGATCGATCTAGATGAGGTCGAAAGCTCGATCATGGTCAGCTCGCTGTATTCAAATTTCAGCAATTATACTGAATCGACTTTGTGTCATGAATCGTAAACCCACATCTAATGTATTCTTTAGCAATGAACCAATGACTTCTCAATTCCTCTTTATGACAAGGCTGGAAATCAGTATAGCTTCTCCATTGATCTGTGAGACCGGGGTCCCGAGTATCGAGGTTTGAGCAATCCGGCATGTGATAAAGGCCCAGGGTACGAAACAATTGACGTATATCCTCTTCTTTCCTCATCCCGGTACATCTATCGCACTTCCTAGACGTTGGCCATATCCACACCACCTGTTTGCTCCGTTTAAGGGATGGTTCTTCCGACGGTCTGGTAACCAGATCCTAGCGCGCCCGGGGAGCTAAGCCGCGCTCCTTTTCTTCCCCGTCATTTGCTCTACATCGTTACACACGCATTACGCATTGCCTGGTTTGGGAAATTTGGCCGCGGAGGGGGTTCAACGACAGGAGATCGATGACCCCACAGTTCTACAACACAGCATAAACCTGACTGCGAATACTGGCAAGTCAATAACTGCTAGCGACTGTATGAGTGAGCTCATCCGTCTGAGAATCGGCTTGACAGGACCAGTACGTAAAAAAGTGTCAAATTCTAATAATAATTGCTTCGCCAAAGGTTCTTCCCATGAATTGTTGTATGATTCCAAACTTGCGGCGCAGCCCTCGATAAGCGCATCAATGTAGGAGAGCTCTGAACATTGGATTAAGGAACATATCAAATCAGCCCCGGCCATTGGGAGCATTACTCAAGTTGAGGTAGCTCTTGGCCTCATGGGCACCCTGCATCAACACTAAGGCAAAGCAGTCACCAACCCGGCCACCGGTGACAGTATACATGAGGTCAGGACTCTTGAGAATTTCGATCCCTTCAACTGGGTCACGAACCAGGAAAAGCTTTGACGATTGCCCGTCAACATAGTCACAGACCGCAGGATAGAAAACATCGCCAAGAGGGTCAACAGCAACGAAGTAGTACTCTTCAGGGCCAGGTCCGCCGTAGTAAGGAGCCCACGCGACGACAACACTATCGGTAGGGCCATGCAGTCCAGGTTCGACGCGCAGCCTAGAAACGCCGAGCTTTGCCATGGTGGTGCCATAGTAGTGCATCAATCGCTGAGCTCCGTCGTAGATGAGGGCGTCATTCTGATGAGCCCACAGCTCCGAGCAGAGTTCATTGTCTGGTCCGCCGGTGAGGACTGCGTACAAGTTGCCGTTGCTGCAAGAAATGATCATGGTAGAGCCGCTAGGGTTTACAAGAAGAGAATACTCGTATCCGTCGGTATCATTGTAGCCCGAATTCGGAAGGGACTCAAGCTCATAAGAAAGGGTAGAGGAGCCCCCCTTATATTTGTGTGTAATGTCAACAATTGGGTTCGTGGGCTCGGAAGTTTGCCGATGTCCAATATGCCGCTTTGTGAAGTTGGAGGGTAGCCTAACCTTGTCAGCCCCGAGTATCTTGTGAAGCGGTAGGGATAGTAGAGGAGGCAACTCACGGTATGCATTCACGAGTCAGTAGACGATCGTCGGTATCCAACAAATTTATCTCCTTCAAACCCAAGATATCGATGTACAGTCTGTTACGCCAGCTGATTTGCGTGCTGATGCCTGTACAGCCATCCGTCTCGGTAAATCCGCCCTGGAAGCTGCCCGTCTCAGAGAGACCGATCGAAGCTGCAACTTGAGCAACACCCTTGATGGACGGCTCATCAATGATGCCTACGGACTTATCCCAGGACGCGATCTGAAGACCACACTTGATACCTATAGGCAGACCAAGTGTCGTGGAGAGCATCAACTCACCCTCCGCTTCGAAGACCGGCTTGAAGTAGGGCTCCCAGCCACTCTTCTTGCTGTTAGCCGAGTGAACAAAGTCTATGAGCACATGGGCGTCTTGCAGACCCATCTCAGCGCCCGCCAGCAGTTTTCCCTTGGCCGCTGCTTCGACCTCAACGCGTGATCCGACGTTGATACGTGGCCCGATGGTAACAACACCGTAGGACAACCCAGGTAAACCCACGTTGATCAAGTCATTGTAGAACTCCTCCTTGTATGTGATCTGGGCATCAATCCCTATCTTTAGAACAAACTTGATATCCGTCCTGATGTCGACTTCGCCCTCGAGAAACCCGCCAAGAGGAGTCCAGCGGGCTCGGCCAGCGATTTTGGCGTTGCCAGACGCACCGCATCCGACGCAGAAAATGTTCATGTATCCGTTAACCGTCTTCTCAGGGTCCTCCTCCTGAGAACCTAGCGCTTTCAGAAGGATCGAATCACCCCATGGGGATTTGACCTGCTTGGTCTTGGGATCGGTGAGCGTTTTTCCATCGGGGTTCGACGACTTGGAGTCGGGTAGCTGCCAAGAGATATCTTTGTTGATGGAACCTCCGATTGAGAGAATTTGTTGCGTGGCGTGGTAAATTGCCTCAAGGGGCTTCACTATGACGTCTAGGAAAGACCAGAATGAGCGCCCACGGAGATGCCGGCGTTGTTTCCAGAAGGTGTCCTCTGGATCAATATCGTACTTAAAATCCTCTGGAATAGACTCCTGGATGAACTGAGGGGCGATTTCCTGAACGAATCTGATACTCTCGGCGCTCAAATGGGCGTGCCCTAGGTCATCATCGAGATCCTCGTCGAAGTAATCACCAAGACAGGCCGTTGGAAGTCCGTACTTGGTGTCTACCGGAGCGTCGCAGTTGCGTGATGCCTGCAAACTGGTGGAGTTCCCCGTAGAGGAGCTGTTTGAGAGTGGACTGCCAGGAGTTCCGGACAAAGCAGTTGAAATAGGCACAGGTGAAGTTGATCCGGTCGTGCCAGGGGCAACAGATTCTACAGAAGAAGCGGAACCAGGATCGAATGGACTACTGCCAGATGTGGCGGCCGGTGCGGATCCCCATGTGAATGTTGGTTCAGAGGCTGAGGAAGGTTGCGGGTGGTGCCCTCGAGGTGTCCAACGGCCCCATTCGGTTTCACCGACAGTGATAATATCGTCAGGATGACTAGGAGTTCCGGAGGCTGTTATAACGAAATCTCCTTCGTGAAACTTGAGTGAAGATACGCGGAAGAAACAGCGGTCGCCTTTCTTGTAATCACCACAACCTTTGGCGAAGGCGACCAAGATCAGGCCGTCATCAGTATTCCAGGTATCCACGGCATTCTGATATCCATCTTGGCTGCCAAACGAGATGACCAGATCTGAAGAGTCATATATGACGACTGCTACATGATCGCAATGGTCCAGGTTTACTGACGGCGCAGTGAAGTGGTAGGTGACAAAGGCATAAGCTCCTGCCTTGGCCGGATCTACTCTATTGCGTGAGCTCATCGGGTTGATGAGGATAGGTTGGCATCTTCGACTTACCTCCAACTCCGTAGTACATCTTGGAGCCCTTGCTGGGAGGAATGGGGATGACGTTGGCCGCCGGCGTTGTATCGCAAGACCAATGGATGTTTGGCGACAGGGTGACGTGAGGCCCATCGTGAGCAAACGTTGCGGTTTGTTCTCCCATAAAGCCAAACCTATTGGCCTTTTCCACGGGAGATGGGCAAGGCGTAGGGACAGCAGTCTTGATAAAGGTGCCGTTGCTACCGGGTGCAGATGAAGCCGGATATGCGCTTGCGGCGCCAGCTATAGCTACTAGCAGTGCGGCTCGCATCTTGAGTAACATCATGGCGCCCGGTCGAGCATCCAAAGACTAAGTGAGTGACTGAATTAGAAGAAAAGATGAACGATAAGCGATGAGACCCTGTGAAGCGTAGATGAATGCGGCGGTCAGCTTGGCAGAAAGACATACAGCGTATTTGCTACATGGGCTGGGACTTCCTTAAAATGTTATGACCATAGAGTTGAGTGCAATGCTACTCCTCAATGTGATCTCAACAGAGATTTAGTATGCGATCTCACCAGAGGCTGAATGTCAGGGAGAATTTTGTAATTCAAAGCTGTTTCTTGAAGCCAAGACAAGAGATTCCTCTCTCATCAAAATCAGCCGTCGATAATTCCGACGGCATATAGGATCAGAATGCCGTGGAGCACTAATCAGCTGCAACAATCACAAGAACGAGCGGTCCTCACATTGCGAGACTCACGATTTCGACGACCTGAATGTCCCCAGACGGACCACAAGGAAAAAGAAGCACAAGGCAGTCCCAGAGGTGTTCAACTGATAATGGCTTCCCCGTTCCGCACGGAATCTGCCATTCGAATAACATCCCACTTCGACCGGCTGATCAGACTTGTCACATTTATCCCTTGCGCCAAGCCAGCCACACATACAAAGTCAGTATTCAAATGGGCTGCTAATGATGCCTTCTGTCTAGCTGATGAATGTGATGACATCCGTATACCTTTCACAGATCTCAGCGCACGAATACTTTGAAGATCGCTAAGTGACTCGTCAATGCACGCGCGAAGAATATTCTCACCTCTCAGACTACATTCTGAAAGTCTCTCTCTAGCAAAGCGATCGAACTCGCGATACCAACGCCGGATAATCTCTTCAAGGACGATATCCGGTTCCAAACATGTACATGCACTTGACCAAATGGGACAGCACCAATTGATGATGCCAGAACAGAAAGCTCCTGGACTTCAGCACGACTCACCTCAGCGGAAGCAGGGCACGCCGGTTCAAACAACTACATTCTTCGTTACACTAAAACAAGCTTAAATCTTAGCTGGATTTGCAGAATTGGAATGGGAAAGTCCCTTACCATTCCTGCGAGAATCTAGACGAAATGCCATACCACTTTGCGGTTCAAAGGACAGCACAATATTGGCCAGCTGATGGTAACCACTTCTTGGCGGTTTTCATTTTGGCTTGACAGCCGTGGTCGCCATGACCGAAATGCGGCTGAGGTCTCAGCCACGTTTCTCACCTGATAGTAACGGAATTGCTATGGCACCTGTACTCCCCATATCGCCTTACAATGGCGCACACTACAACCCACGTGCCATTCACGCGTTGGAAAAGTCTCAATACACAGGCTTCCAAGTATAAAGGGACCTTGAGAGTGGATACGAGGTGAGTTTCGCTATACTGTTGTGCAAATCGCACTGAAGAAAGAGGAACTAGGTGAATACCATGGATTCCTCCTAAGTATGTAAATCGGAATGGCCAGTGGGTTACATTGGAAGCTTTCTCTTCGTTATTAGGCGCTCTCGGAAGTTTAAGTAACTCTTAATAATATGTTCATACATTTTTAGCGAATTTGATGTAGAATTATCATATTGATCGTACCACGGAAGAAAATGGAGGACGGGGGCCAAATTATCATCAAAATCGCCCTTAGCAGTTGAGGTTACAACAAGACCGCTTATCTAAGACGTGCGGCACAGTTCTTTATCCTCTTCTAGCCTGTTTGCCGTCTTTCCATCCTCGCTTTTAATATTTCTGAACACTTTTGGCTCAACTCTTGGACAGCAAGTACAATTTCATACAACTCCTTCTCCAGAAACCAAAAAACGCCGAGGTGGAAAGCGGGCACGGCGTTAGGGTATTTGACCACAACACGAAGACGAGATGCGGACGCTTGACCAAGTCGAGTACTCTGAGGAGGCTACAGTCGCCGCCGTGACCGACTTTTACGTCTTTCTGACCAAAATGTACCTTCCCGAGTCGGCTGTCGTGCACCCGCCGCCAGGAGGGTGGCCAACGTTGGCCTCTGATTTACAATGCCTGGGGAAGTCAGACGAGGTACTGAGCCTACTTTCACAACTACCGTACATCCGCCAAGATCTCGACGACAACGAGATACCAGAAATCACCCCTGGAGGTCGTTGGATAGACTGGCGCATGTCCGGCACCTGGGTACGCGAGGGCGGCAGCGACATCGACGAGCTTCGCACCATCACCGAGGGCCCCGCCATCACGGAGCACGTACCCGAGAGCGTCGTCGGGCTGACGATGAGCGAGCACCACACCTTCCTGATTGATACGGAGCTCGGCGTCATCTACTGGCCAGAGTGTCCCGGCCGGCTCCGCGACGGGCCCCGGTGCATCGAGGACGACCCGTACGATTACTGCGACGATGAGGAAGACGCCGAGTGGCGTGCCGACGGCGCCGCCTGGTCTGTCGCCGACTTCTTCAAGGTGCTCAAGGCCGAGTACCGCTTGCTGCGCTGGGTGCCGTGTAACGAGTACGAGGTCTTGGATTCGGAGAGCGCGATGACGAGGAATCCTATTCCGGCGCTGCAGGAGGTTTACCGGCGCCACGGTTGGCCCGATTCGCAAGAGTATCGCAAAGAGGACTGCCTCGAGGAGACGAAGGCTGTTATGGTTGTAATAGAGCAGGGAGTGGACGAGGAGGAAAGACGCGCTTAGATTTATGCGAACGAGGTGTGCTCGTTTGCGTGCTTGACGGTATTAGGCTCGTTTCTTAGCCGCGTTCACTATTGTTGACAGCCATACACCAAATGAGCTGGTTACTCCGGTAAAAGACCAAATGAGTGATCCTCACAAGCTTAAGTTACATTGGGCCTCGTAGAAAAAGACAAGACGTAAAGCAGCCTTCATGCTTATTATGGTTTGATTACATATTCATTACTTTCGTGTATATGGCTTAATGGCGTGAACAGCCTCTCGACTAAATCCGTCCGTGTCTCTTAACTCCTCCTGGCCACCATCTCGTGCATGGCCCGTCTTCCTCAACAATTTCCTAATCTCTTCTCTAATTGTGACTCCAGTAACCTCCTCGTATTCCAGCAACGAACAGTTCAGACTTTCTAAGCAGACCACCTCTTAGTCTTGGCGGCAGGAGCCGGGCAAGGAGAGGTGTTGTTCGGGTAAAAGATGTCGTCTCCAACCCAGACGGGCCAGACCTCGTTGATGACGGCCCGCGACGCATTATTCCTGGCAGCGCTGACGTCGATGAACATGGTATCGGTGGTGCTCTTTGTGTTGGGCAGGCCGTCGGGGCCGAACAGCTGCACAAAGGTGAAGTTGCCTTTGGCGCCGCACACCTTGCCGGTGACGGAGGGTCTGCCCCAGCCGTAGCCGACGACCTCGTAGTCGGTGATGAAGTCCTCGCCCGAGGACAGGACGTAGAGGCCGGCGTAGGCCGGGTCGACGCGGTTGAAGAGGAAGGAGAACCTGGCCTCGTGGATGGACAGCGGGCCGGCGTCGGTGAATTCGGGGGCGCCGTAGGTGGTGATGTCGCCGTCGGTGTGGTTGTACCAGCCGCCGTAGTTATGCTGAGGCCAGGTATTGAGCTTCGGTGCGGTTGCCGAGGCGACTGTCGTGGCGGCGAGGGCGACGAGGCCTGCGGCTGTGGATGGGATGTGGACCATTTTGAGGAGTAGATGAGAGGGAAGTGAGGTTTTGGAGGAAGACGATCACGATGAAGAGTGGCAGAGAGGCGAGAGGACGTCAATTACACGATAGAGATCAGGAGGTCAATGACTACTTATACACGCATATAATAATCCTCAGGACGCGCTTTGTGAGTCTTTTTTCCCTTCTATGAAATCTTGGCGAGAATAGGCAGAAGTGCGGGTAGAGAAATTTCATCTGGGGACCTTGAAGCTCGACCGGGGCTCGCCGCCCGGGTCTGATGCCACGAACACGAGCGCGGCGGGTGAGATTCCAAGTTGGGATTAGCTGTGGAGGGCCTGTCAGTGAGAGGTCTGGTAACGTTTCTTTTCTCCCTGGCCGGTGGTTCGAGAGTTATATCTCGCAAGGAGGAAGATGTGGTGAAGGGGATAAGAAGAACGAGTAGCCGAACCAGCAATGACTGAATCATTCGGCAACATGGAGGAGAAAATATAGAGATTAGCAAAGTCCGAGGTTCCCAATAGACTCGTACGGATACAACAGGATGTTGAAAGAAGACTGGAACTGGCAATCAACGGGTACCGTAAATTTAATATTGACTGTGCCTCAGTTCAGGGATTAAGAGAGACAGAGATGTTATAGGTCGCCCTGCCCGTTGTTATCCACCAGGAGTAAGCCGAAGGACCGAGGACGTGCACCCTGCGGGAACCTAAACGTGACCTTATCTTATTATTTCCCGTCCCGTTCAGTTGGCGGCTAAATCGTCTCTTCTTTTGACTCAGCTAACTCTAAGCACCAGATCTTGATTAACCTAACCTTGGCTGACAAGACGGACAACTGGTCCCGACCACTTTGTCTCTGCTCCAGGTCTGCCCTTCCTTGCTTGCTACATTACACCTTGCCTTACTTCAGCTCCTCTCGGTCCGAACTGTCGCCGTTAGTCTCAACACGGTGAGGTACCAGCTAATCCATGGCGTAGGTTGCAGGACAACCAGGAACACCCTAGAGTTCAGCTCTTACACGCAACTGGCAGCTCACAACGGCCCAATAAGCGGCGCCAATTGCAAGAACAGCTTCTGTCTGTCACTGCTGGCGAATCACGTCCAGTTTCAGGACACTAATCGGCCAGCTCTACTCCAAACCAGCAGCGCTACGGCGCATCATATTGCGACGTCAATCGCACCAAAGACATCTTTGCTGCTTGCGGCGTTACCGATCTTGAATCATTGCTGTGACTGTGAGGAAGCCCCGGTCAAGCTGAGCTGAACATACAGTGCCTACCTATCCGTAGGTACGAAGTACCTTGCTCGCGTCGACTCGGCATGCATCCCGCGACGAGACATTCAAATCCCACCCAGCCAACCGTTGCAACGCCCTTTCCTTGGCCGTAGGTCAGCCCAGCTCCAAAAGAGCCCCATTTTACATGCAAGTAACGGCCCTCCCAAGCCTTCCAAGACGGCTCTGTACCCCGGAACACGCGTACATGAAGCCCGCCGAGGGGCTCTAAACCCCCGTGAAAATCCTCCTCCACGATGGGTAACTGCTTCTCACTTCTTCTCCCCTCCCCCTCCTCTCCCTTACTCGAGACCACCGCCATGACGAACCTCACCATCCGCAACCTCACGGCCCTGCCAGTCACCCTCAAGCGTGTCGAACGCTTCGAGGGCGAGAGGAAGCGCACCGGAGACTTCCTGGGCAACACCTTTGGTACCATTGGCTCCTTCATGAATGCGACCAACTTCACCACCAAAGAGACCCACGCAAAGGGAGATGCCCACCAGACCGAGGATGTCGATGTTCATGTCGAGCCATTCGCCATCGGCGGCACCGAGATTGGCGCACCAGATATTGGAAACCACGATGTCGTTCGTCTCCAGTTCGAAATTGAGGGCCACCGTTATGAGATTGACGCCCCGAGCCCCACCAACCGCTCTTCCGTCATGAAGAAGCTCGACGATGCGCCTCTGGAGCTGACGGCCGTCTACGTGGCCAATGGCGCATTCCTCGCCATCATGTCGTCCGCAAACCTCAATGCCTGGATGCACGAGCTGCGCGACGAATACCCGCTACCCCTCCTCTCCATCCCCGGCACCCACAACTCGCCGACGTGTTACACGGCGCTGCCCTCCGTCCGCTGCCAGGCCGTCGGCGTCCGCGAGCAGCTCGACAACGGCGTCCGCTTCCTCGACATCAGAGTCTCCGTCTCCCAGGACAACGACGACCTCGCCCTCGTCCACTCCGCCTTCCCCATCTCCCTGACCGGCAACAAGTACTTTGCCGACATGCTCTCCGACATCTACGCCTATCTGGACGCCAACCCCTCCGAGACGGTCCTCATGTCCGTCAAGCGCGAGGGCACGGGCAAGGGCAACGACGAGCAGCTCAGCCGCTACCTCCGCGACCGCTACGTCGGCCGCGACGCCCACAGGTGGTTCGTCGAGCCGCGCATCCCGCCTCTTGGCGACTGTCGCGGCCGCATCGTGCTCATCCGCCGCTTCGGCCTCGACGAACCCCTGCGCGGCGAGCACGACGGCCGCGGCTGGGCCATTGACGCCCAGAACTGGCCCGACAACTGCGAGGACGGCACCGTCGGCGGCGGCCTCATCCGCGTCCAGGACTTTTACGAAATCGACCAGTCGACAAACGTCGAGAAGAAGATCAACTTCTCCCACGGCCAGCTCGAGCGCGCCGCCGAGCAGCTCTTCCACCTCCCCGGCATGCCCGACTTCAACGCCGACGCACCGCCGCTGCCCTTCTTTGTCAACTTTTTGAGCGCGAGCAACTTCTTCAACGCCACCTGCTGGCCGGAGCGCATCGCCGCCAAAGTGAACCCGGCCGTCATCGAGTATCTCTGCATACGCCACGGCGAGCCGGGCAAGGGCCCGCACCAGCTCAATGTCGGCGACGCGGCGACGGGCATCATTGTCACGGACTGGGTTGGCGCGCACGGCGATTGGGATTTGATCAGGTGTATCGTGGGCATGAACGCGCGTCTGCAGCTCAAGCACTAGGTGTGTCTGTGCCGCAGTGTGCGATTGGAGACTGGCGCAAGGGTTGTCGATATCAAGGGAGGCAAGGCATCATTGTTACACAATCAGAAAGCGAAGCGACAGAAAAAAATGTGATGAGAATATCATGTTTTATTATCAAGTCATCAAACTAAGGAAGATAGATCAGGTCTCATTGAAGAGTCCAGGTTCCTAGAAATTGTCATGTTAGCGAGGTGCTTTGACAAAGTAATGGCAAAACAAAATGTAAAAATGACAGGTCTCGATCAGTTCTCCAAGGTGAATCGGTTTATGTTTTCTCTTTCATGATATTCAGTACTAGAGCTAATAAAAGGTCATCCGTGAGACGGTGGGCGTTGCGCTTGCAACAGAAAAAAGTGCGGAAAAAAATTGTAGACCTACCATTTGGGTATCAAAGCAAAACGAGAAACATCAGTACAAGCAAGTTACCTATGTCGCGGGTCAGCGACTTGTCAGGCATGTGTGAAGCAAACACAAAGTGAACGATCTGCGGGCTGTTAGTGATGCTGTCCAAAAGATGTGAGATGTGAGTTTGAATTACCTCAATATCAGAAAGTGTTAATTACGTTCATGTCCAGCAAACACCGAAGTGAGCGCCAGTCAAACAGTGTGAATACTTGATCAACTCATCATAGTATCGAGAGACTGAACACGGTCGCCGCCTGGGCAGCAGAATAGGAAAAAATATTTACCTGCGTCGAGAACAGTCAGCATGGCCAGCCTCGACCAGATGAACGCAAGCTTTCCAAAGGCCACTCTCCTGCGCGTAAACGCAGAGGAAGAGTACCTTGAACACAAGCAAATAGTGGTAACCACGATCAGTTGACGATCGATCTCAACAAGAAGCCCCGACACCCAACACCACAGAGTTTGTACGCTCCGTTTGTTTCTGGCGAGGGGCATCGAGGTTCGTTTATGTCCGCCCGTTCGTTCAAATCTTCCTCATTGTGGTGTTTGCTTGTGGGGGGAAGGAAAGCATTGAGGCGGAGCCTGGAAAATATGTATTTACCTATCCGACTGATGTTAGCTTGGATGCTACCTGGATAGATGCGAACAAAAGAAGGTAAAATTTTGGCTCTAGATCAGACAAGGCTGAAACTATTGCACCGGATTCAACATTATGTATTCTGCATGAGGAATCCCTATGGTGTACGAAGTGTTCATCATATAGAGGCGAAGGGGAAATGGGGGTGAAGAGACCGGAAAGTGCAAACGAACCTTTTGAAAATAGTGTCAAAAGCAAGGGCTTCGAATTTGGAAGCGATTGAAGATTCATAAGAGAAAATTCTGTTGCGCGTTAGCTTTGGTCCCACAACTCCGTAGACGCGAAAAGACAGGAAGCTGCGCAAGAATTTGCTCAGTTCTAAGAAAAGTGTCACACCATGGAAATAGGTCTGATTTGGATTGTTCAATGTTGTTTCCAATCATCATGCAAAAAGACAAAAGAAACCAGGTGAACTCTCGTGAGACAAAGAAGATCAAACTTACCAATTGAAAGTATTCCCAATGCCTGCCAGACGCGCGCCAGTCTGGCGTTTGCGCAATGGCAGGCAGAGGGAGAGAGGTCTTGGTGATTGACCTTGTTGAGTATGGAAAAGAGAAGTCTGCAGCAGTTGGAAGAGCTTCGTGGAAAATTTAAAGGAAAGAAAAAAGTCCAGAGTGGGGGTCCTACCACGAGATGATGCGCTAGCCCCTTTTGGACTAGCGGGAAATATGGCCACTGGCATGGCTGTGGCGGTGCTTTCGGGAATCTGTGCTAACAACCTCAGGTGGCGAAGTCTATCTTATCGCCTCCCTCTTTATAAGTGCTCCCCGCGATCTCCCGTCCTCCCCCAGGCTTCCCTCCTTTCCCAAGGACATAGCTCCAGACACGACACTGTTCGACTCGACCTTGACGTTCCCCTTACCGGTCGTGATCTCTTAGGAGTCACTCCAAACAAACCCGCCAAAATGTCTGCCGCGGGGGGTATATGGGCTCCAGCAGCCCTACGCCTCCTCCGCGTGGGCATCACCAGAACGACAAAGATGATACGAACCAAACTCGCAAACGCAACCCGCCCGGCCGTCCAGGGCGAACTCGCACACATCCCCATCCGCACGACGCCGACGGGCCGACAGCCCATTCACCCGGCCGCTCTCCTCAGACAGAAGCGCGCGGGACGCTGGTACTCGACCCAGAGCATCAACAACACCGTTCGCAGATGGATCTCCACGAGCGGTAGCCCCGGCGGCAGCAGCACACGCTTCAGCCGGGCATCGTTCCCGAGCTCAAACACATCCCGCCGCGTGGGCCAAATGACCGGCCGCGCGCCATTTGCGAGCACGCTCCGACCGAATCTCACCGGCGGTGCCATCGCCCGCACCCAGGGCGGCTACAGCGTCGGCGGTGGGGCCCGCTACTTCTCTCACACGCCCGCGGCGCCCGCGCAAGTGATCCAGAACGTCTCCGTCGCCATGCGCGCCTTCTGCCTCTCTGGCCAAAAGGTACGCTACGACGGCCTCAACGCTCGCGGCGACAAGCGCTACCGCGCCGTCTCGGAGCTCGAGCAGGCCGCGTACGTCAAGATGATGGGCGCCACCTCCCGCGGGAACCCCGGCTCCTTCATTGACTTCCACATCAGCCCCACCGTCACGGCCCTCAGCCCCCTGGCCGCCGCCGCCGCTGCGGGTTTCACCTCCGCTAACGCCGAGGCCCCCACCACCACCCTCAACGAGGATGGCTTCCTCGACGTTCTGTCCATTGACTTTGCTCGCGCTCTCAAGGACCTCGCCGTCGTTTTCGCAGACCTGAAGAGGCTTGCCTTGTTTGGTGATTTGCCAATCACGATGGAAAAGAAAAATGTGCTTCGGGTGCGATTCCCTGGAGTTGACGCCGAGACCGTCGAGCGGCTGTGCGATGATGCTGGCGTTCAACGCGGTATTGTCGGTCAAGACGCCGATTTTGAAATCGAGAATGGCGTCTCGGTGGCGCTTAGATTCCCATACGCTCCTGACGACGACGTCAAGACCATCACTTCGCCCGGCGGTTCACTGCGGTCGCTCTCCGGCATCGATGTCGACCTGGAAGAGGCGTTCATGGATGAGATGGAAGAGCGCTCTTGGATGTCAGACCCCGAGGGATACGAAAGCTTATCGCCCACTCCAAAGACCAGTGAGGACTGCTCTGAAGGGTATGAGGGGCTTGAGGGCATATACAGATTCCTGGAGGAGTGTGACCGCAATAAGGGACGTTTTTAACGGGTGGGTCCCCTTTGTGTTTTTATCAACGGTTGAAGCCGCAGATTGGGTTCTGGGCGATGTAAGGATCTACGCTCTTTGTATAACAACATGGGACTCTGGCCTCACGAAATAGCCGAGTAGTGAAATGAGATTTCCTATATCCACATCAAGGCCAAGTCACTATTCAGTAGTGCATCGTCACACGGTGGACGCCATAAGTGATATGTCTTGAATTGCCCTCATCTCCTATCCATACACGTAAAAAGCAACCCCGCAGACCTCCTTAGGCGCATTCTGTTGACATTTAACTCTGGGACGATGCTGTTTGCGCAATACTGCGAGCCAATACAATCTACTCCAGAGATTGGCGAACAATACTTAGCCCTCGTAATCCAAGCCCACTGCCTTGTACCAGCTCTTTTTCTCTTGCTCGAGCATTGCCTTATCCTCCTTGAGCACCTTCTGGAGCTTCTTGGCTCGCTTAGGGCTGCCCAAAAGCGCAGCAAGGTCGCTGCTGGCACGGGCACGTGGGGTTGTTGCCTTGGCAGAGGAGCCCGCACGGTGAGGGCTCACAGGGGCAAGAGGCTCCTTGACCTTCTTGGGTCGTCCTCGCTTCTTCTGCTCCTTCTTGGGAGGGGGCGTCGGGGAACCCTGATCGAACTTGTGTGGAGTGTCAACTTTACCAATGGTCATGGTCACGCTCTTCGCGTCGTCCTCATGATTCTTGTTCTGCTTGCGCGATCCAGTGGTGTCAAGAACCCAGACCTGGCCGTCAGGAGATTTCGGCGACTTCTCAGGAACGAAGCTAGGCGCAGGATGCTGAACGCTGTGCGGCTTCAAGTTCAAGAAGGGGTTAAAGGGCGTACGGCCAGCTGTGCGGATGAAAGATCCGCGATTGTCCGGGGTGGCTGGAATAGGGATGCGAGTAGGTCCTTTCAACGCTGTGCTGGGGGACGACATCGCCTTCTGTGGGCCGTCGACGGAGGTCTTGGAATCCTTAATCTTGTCTGGCGAGGCGGACTGTTCATCCTTCTCGGCGATTGAGAGCGACGTGCTTCGCAGTTTCTTTCTCTTCTTTCCCTCGATGGTCGTGGGCTCATCGACCTTTGCATTATGAACCAGTGTGTCTCGCTCAGTATTGGCTTTGTCGTCCTTGGCGACAACATTGTCCGAGACGTGTCCTACCTTCTTGGGTTTCTTGTATTTCTGGAATACCTCGCCATCCTTGGCGTCCTCACCTCCAGGGCTGGCTTCAGCCACACTCAGGTGCTCGTGTTCATTGACATCGTCGATAACTGTGACAGCATGGGAAAACTCTGCATGCTTAGTCTTCTTCTGCTTCTTCTTTTTCTTGCCGTTCTTCGCCTCGTGAACGAGAACAGGCGTGTCCTTCCTCTCGAATACTTCAGGGGTGGGGACAGCCTCAGAACCGTGCTCCTGCTCCTCTTTATCGACATCAGCGAGAGCACTGGAACGAGACTTCTTGTGCTTCTTCTTAAGCTCCTTTCCCTTCACCTCGGCAGTAGACGCAGACGCGTTCTTCTGGCCCTCGGCCTTCTGGTGAACAGGTGAAACCTCGCTAAAATCAGCTTCGTTTCCGTGCTCAATGGGATGAGCTGTGGCCGACTTGGACTTGGACTTGGACTTGGAGGACTTCTTCTTCTTCGTCTTTTTCAGTCCCTTTGCGACATCAGTACCAGAACCGGTGTCCTCGGCATGCTCGACGTCATTAGTTGTAATGCTATGTGAATTGGCCTTCGGGATATCGTGTTGGTCCTCGGTACTCATCTCATTGAGTGAGATGTTCTTGGACTTTTTGTGCTTCTTCTTGCGCTTGCTGTCACCGTCGTGCTGAGCCTTTTCTCCCTGTAGCTGGTTATCCTTGTCGAAATGACCGTTCTTCCACTTCTTGGAGGATTGAGGTGTATCATCGTCACGCTTTCGCTTCTCCTTCTTAGTACTGCCAATCACCGCGACATCCTTGTCCTTCTAGGACTTGGTGCTGATAGCGTCCGGCACAAGAGGACTGGCACTAAGATCATTCTCGAGAGCGCTGTGGTAATCGTCATTGTCGTCTTCCGAATCTTCAGTGTCCCACTCAACGGAAGAAACATCGCCATTCTTTGATTTGTGCTTAAGTCCCTCGCTTGAGGTGCTGGATTCGTCTCTCAATTTCGACAGAAGGCTTTTGAGTAGGTCGACATCCCTCTCTCTAGCGTCCGAAGGATCCATGTCCAGCATCTTCTGTCTTCCTTCCAGGACTTTGGTCTGGCGGCGGATGAACTTTTTCTCTTTGGCCTTCTCGCGGAGTGAGAGCTGAAGTAGAAAGTCTTGCTGATCCTGGACATCGCTGGACTGAGTGGGACGCTCCAATGCCATCGTCATCTTGCTGTTGATTTTGCCTCTCTTGCGCATGAGGTCGGCGGCGGTCTTTTGCAAGATCCTTCGAGTATCTTTGTCAAAGGGCTTGGCCAAGTCGAAATCGCGACCCTTTTGTAGCTGGGCGGCTTTCGGGGGCGCCATCGTGACTTCGTGTAAGCCTACCTTACACGAGTAACGCGGCGATGAAGTGGGAATGATTTGGGTGATAGTGCAATGGTTGCTCGCTTGACTCGATATGGTCTGGGTGATGCAAAGTGGAAGTTTTTGCTAGGCCGAGGGTGGGGACGCGGAAAGAAAAAGTTGGTTAAAGGACCTGCAGGTGAGGTGAGGTGAAGAAAGGAGCTCCCGCCTGTCCGGTGAAGGAAGGCACCTTCCACCACTCGAGAGCTCCCATCCCCAGGCAGGTAGTCGGTGTTGACACCTGCCGACCCCCGACGTTAAGTGGCAGCAAAGGGACGCTGCACCTCGAGAAAACCGCAACGGAAGCTTCTTCTAATCTGCCATGTGAGGTTTTCCAACAACACGAGCCATGATAACTCAGATTACTGATACATCGAGAGAATTATCCACACTAGCCTCCTCTAGACCCTGCAATTCGGTGTCCCTGACACAGTAGATCCCGAAGTCGAGATCCGGGGTAAAGCCCAAGATGGCGCAACTCCACCCCCACATTTGAACCTCGGCATTGGCGGCCCTGGGTTTCACTGCCACTGGAGCTGCCCTCTCTGTCCGGTTAGCTGGCCGGTTAGCTGACCATCAGCTACGCCGAGGGCAGCTTGGCCATCGCCTGTTAAAACCGTCGCGAATTCCCCAGAGCTCGGCCGAGGTGCAAGTCTGCTCACGTCTCCCCGCCTTTTCTTTACCAATTGCAATTCAGACTCGCTCTGTATCGCTAGCTGTACATCACACGTATTCCTACAGAAAACTTCACAATGAGCGGCCCCGGTGTTGGATTCGAGTACCCCCGCCAGCCCGTTTCCTGGGTCAAGCGCGATGTGCTGCTCTTTGCGAACACCATTGGTGCTACCGACGACGAGCTTCACTTCCTCTATGCAAGTTTTCTCCTCTCATCTGACTTTTATGACTGTTGATTGCTGACCGTTTGCCAATAGGAGCTTCACCCCAACTTCGCCGTCTTCCCTACCTATCCTCTTATTCTCAGTGAGCTCCATCGCCTCAATCGACACTGCGATCAACCCAGCTAACACCGAGCCAGCATTCAAGGGCGACACCCAGGAGGTTGTCGACTTCTACGCCGCCCAGAAGGCCGTCCAGATCCCCAACGTTCCTTCGTTCGATGCCCGCCGCGTCGTCGATGGCCAGCGCAAGATTGTGCTTCACAAGACCATCCCCCCCACTTCGGCCGGCAAGAAGTTCGAAGTCCGAACCAAGGTTCTCGGTGTTTACGATAAGGGCCGTCCCGGCTCCGTCGTTGAGACCCAGACCGACCTGGTAGAGCTTCCTAGCAACGAGGTCTACGCCAGCGTCATCACCAGCAGCTTCTACATCGCCCAGGGCAACTGGGGCGGCCCCAAGGGCCCCGCGACCGAGAACTTCCCTCCCCCGAAGGACAAGAAGCCTGATGCTACCTTCTCCCAGGCTACGAACAAGGAGTCAGCGCTCCTCTACCGCCTCAATGGAGATTACAACCCCCTGCACGCGACCCCCGAGCCCGGCAAGAAGATGGGCTTCCCCGGAGCTATCATGCACGGACTGTACTCCTGGAACTCGACCGCCCACGGTCTGCTGAAGGCCCTCGGTGGCAGTGACCCTGCCAACATCAAGGAGTACCAGGCGCGCTTTGCCAGCCCCGTCATGCCTGGTGACAAGCTGGTGACAGACGCCTGGAGGACAGGCGATGTCAAGGATGGATGGGAAGAAGTTCGCTTCCAGACCAAGGTCGAGGGCGGAAAGATCGTTCTGAGCAACGGTCGCGCGCTGTTGAAGGTTGTGGAGTCCCCCAAGTCGAAGTTGTAAAATAATGGATTTTGGATGAAATTTTGGAAAATTACAGTTCAGATTCAAGCACAGCATTCTATAACGTCATAAAATTACTTTCAAACACTTTGGGAATCTTTCGCTGTAGTGTGGTTGTTGGCATGTTTGTGATTGGTATTGATGACCACTCTTGCGCTCACTAACAATTTTGACGTCCCGGATCAGCTACAGCGAAAGAGCTCACGTACTCGAATCTCGTGGATCATTCTGCTGCCTGCCCACTAGGTACCTCAGAACACCGAACCAAGTACACAAAAAAAATGCGCAAAGCATTTTGGACATCTCAGCGGTGACGACAACTTGCTGGGTAAAAAATGTCGTCAAGTAATTACGTTGGTCAGCGCCTGTCTTACGATAATGCACTTTGCACTGTCCGCTACATAGGACCCGTCGCTGGCACGTCAGGCAGCTGGCTGGGCGTAGAATGGGACGACACCGGACGCGGGAAACACGACGGCCAACATAAAGACGTCCGATACTTTTCATGTTAGCTCATTTGCCCCCTCTTGAGTCGTTGCGCCGACAGTCAAGTCTCTAACTGTGGCCGCCAGGTCTCTCAAAAGCCCCCACCGCCGCTTCATTCGTGCGGCCAACCCGCCGCGCCGACGCTGCGCAGAGCTTCGTCGCCGCGTTACACGGCAAGTATGCCTCTGAGGCGGTCGCGAAGCGCGAGGCGGAGATTCAGCAGATCGTCTTCTTTGGTAAGAAACCTGCTGAGGAGGTCGGCTTCGACAAGATCCGCCGGCAGCTCGCGCGCGTCGAGGACTTGACCATTGTGATTCTCGACGGCACGCGCATCCAGTCGGACGTCGTGGACGGGGACAAGAGCATCAAGGAGACGAGCCCCCTCATTTACGAGCTCGATATCAGCAGGAACCTGTTTGAGGAGTTTGACCAGGTGATCAAGATCTGTCAGGAGCTGGACGGCTTGAAAAGTCTGAGACTAAAGTACGTTTTGAGGCTTTTCTTCGTCTTTTTGGTCAGCTTTGAGACTGACTCGTCCCCAGTGGTAACCGCTTCCGAGTCATCGAGACGGGAGAAACGCAGGCCTTTGCAAAAGTGACTGAGCTGGAGCTTGAGGAGACACTGTTAGGCTGGGAAGCGCTCTGCGGTCTTGCTCGCAAATTCCCGTCCCTCGAGACCTGGAGCTGCAGCTTGAACCAGTTGACCGTGCTGCCCAGCGTCTCGTTCGGATCGCTCGCTGCTACCCTCACGAACTTGGATCTCGAATTCAACGAGTTCACATCACTCTCTGACATCGCGGCTCTGTCATCCCTAGAGTCCCTCCGCAACCTCCACCTCAAGGGCAACAGCATCGCCACCATCTCCTCTCCTTCCGGCCCGGTCCCGACATTTTCAACGAGTCTGCAGTATCTAGACATATCCTATAACGCCGTCGCAAGCTGGGCCTTTGTAGATGCCCTCCCCACCTCATTCCCGGGCCTCACGGCTCTCCGTTTCGCCCACAACCCAATCTACGACCATCCCGACCCGGACGCCGCCGCCGGCGACAACCAAACAAAGTCGACGGACGAGGCACACATGGTGACCATCGGCCGTCTCGCCTCCCTCAAGGCCCTCAACTTCACAGCAATCTCGCCCAAGGACCGCGAGAACGCAGACATGTTTTACCTCTCCCGCATCGCCAGGCAGCTCGCCTCCGTGCCCGAGGCCGCCGAGCCCGAAGTCATTGCCCAACACGCCCGCTACAAGGAACTCTGCGACCTCTACGGCGCGCCGGACGTCATCCGCCGCGACGAGATTAACCCTACCTACCTTGAGGCTCGTCTCATCACCGTACACTTCACCCACGTCGCGGCAGCGGCAGCACATACAGACGGCGGCAGCCGGGACGAAGGACAGCAAGTGACCAAGACGGCCACGATCCCCAAATCGTGCGACGTCTACGCCGTCAAGGGGATCGCGGGACGGTTGTTTGGTGCGGAGCCTCTGCGGCTGCGTCTGGTGTGGGAGACTGGCGAATGGGATCCCGTCGGCGGGTTCGACGATGAGGAGAATGCGGATGATAGCAGCGACGAGGAAGATGCTACCGGAAGGAGCGGTGAGGGCGCTGCTGGGGCGCAGGAGGCGAGAGGAGGTAGATGGGTCAAGAGGGAGGTTGAGCTTAGGGATGGGCCGAGGCAGTTGGGGTTCTGTGTGGATGGAATGGATGTCAACATCCGCGTGGAAGACAGGTGAGGATCTTGGTGGCCATAGCCCTGGAGTGGCCTCGCGGCTTAATGCATAAAGATTGCGGCTAGACTGCATTTTGCTCCGTTTGTAGCGTCTAGACTGCGTATCGTTGCGTTTGCTGCGTCTGTACAAGCGATATGGGCATGTATGCATCCTGCCGAGCAGAAGATTGCAACAAACGGAAGGGCGGAGAATAAGACAAGACAGAGCTCCTGACAGAAATATGACTTCACGGTCCCGTCTCCTCTTAATCTAAAACAGCCTCATATCCCATTTATTCGGGTTGAAACCCTTGAGAGGTCCTTAGAATCAGTACACGTCCCAACCATGCCGCCCAAAGTCACCAACGCCACTACTTTCAACGCGGCCGCTGGCAACACCAGGAAGGGCCTGTCTCACTCGATTCACGGCCCACAAGCCGACGATGGCCCTCAGATACGACCGACACACTTCATCATTCGCGAGGGAAGCGACAGCCCAGGGGCTATTGTACCCGTCATACCAGTCGACCTTCTCCCAGACTATGTGACCATCGTCGGCCTGCCACGTACACTGACCATCAACGACACCACCGGCATGTCGAATCTGGGCACATTCGCCAAGCCGCAGAGTCACTTTCAGCTACAATTCGTATCCCCAGCGCATGATCGTCCCACCGGAGGAAGTCCCGAGAGCCGAGATTCTGGCCGTCCTCTCGAACCCCAGCGGCTGGGACCTGACGCTGCAAAGGTTGGCAAGCAGTCTCATGTAACAAAGCGCGGCGGTGTCACTGAGTCTTCAAAGTCAGCTGCCTCGCAACCAACTCCCAAAATCATGACCGACGTCTCTCCACTCGCTCCTCCCCCTCTCCCACCCCGGGTCCTCGACTGGGCCGAAGACGACACAGACTCGGTCTCGACAGACAACTTCTCCTCGGCCGAGCTCTCCGCGCCAGACTCCTCGTCAAAGTCCTCCTCCGGCTGCAGAGACAAACGAAAACCGCTCCGACGAGTCCCGGTCACGGCTGCGGCCGCCATCAAGGAGAGATCGGATGCCGAGATCGCGGAGCGTATGCTCGAGCTTGGTCGCATCCAGCAGCAAGCAGTCGCTCGCAACCACCATCACCATCCTGCCCAGGCCCTGAAGATGGCCGCAGCAGCGGCGGCGGCGGCGGCGTCTCACAGCAGTGACGGCAGCACCAGAACCAGCCCCAGTGTTGCCGCCGGAACCTCGAAGCCTACCCCTCCTAAGCTCACCGCAGGGAAGCAAAAGGTAGTCCGGCCGGACGGCAGCCTCTGCCGGCACTGGTGCCAGACGGGCCAGTGCAGCTGGGGCAACGAGTGTCGCTACACGCACCAGATGCCCCTGACGCTCGAGGGGCTCGCGGACGTCAACATGACGGAGCTGCCGTCCTGGTGGCGCAAGCAGGCCGGCTTGCCTGCTGAAGGGACCATTGACCCGCGCATCTTTGCTGTCGCCACCGTTGCCACCGGTCTAAAGAAGAGCAGCAGCAGCCCCTTTCCGGCGGCAGTAGGCGTCTCTCACACTGCTCCGCCGCCGGTGGCTCTTGAGTCGTCAAGGAAGGTTGCTAGGGTGAAGCCGGGAAAGGCTGAGAGGAAGATGGCGAGGGAGCTTCGTGGCGCGCAGTTTCGGGTCGAGAGGACGCAGGCGACAATGTCATCTCCAGTTGTTGCTATTGGCAGTAAAAAGAAACTGAGTTTAAAGCGAATGCAGAGTCAGACAATGGGGATTCGGCAGATTGACGAGGTTGTTGAGAAGCTTGTGGATATTTGATCCTAGGTCAATATCTTTGGTGTGTGTGGTGTCTTTCTTGATAGACTTGGTTAGGAAGTAGACGATTGATGAACCGCCCAGTCAATGCAACTCAATTTGATGTACTTCTCTTTCGAAAGCCACCTTGTGATGGACAAGATATCTTGGAAATCGACTCTCGTAGACCACTCCGTTCGAGATGACGGCTATCAAAGGCGCAATTGCTAAAAGCCGTTGTCAAGCTTGCTTGTAAACTTGCCAAGTCCAATGTGACTCGCTCAAAATTCCCAATATTGAAGCCGAACTTGCATAATCTCCGTTACGCTGTAATGCACCGCCCAATATCAGACCAGCAAGGCGGCGGGACGACTACTATGCGGGAAGGAATATAAGCGTCTGACAGCATGTCGATCGGACTTGGAGGGTTACGTTCACCAGTTCAAGTTGATAATGTAAGCGGCTTAAGTCCATCCCACAGGCTCCCAAGCCCGTGGACGCAGCGAATTTCTCACATTTCCGACCGATCGGGAATCGAGGGTTGTGGTAGATGCTAAATCCGTCTACTGGTTCTTAACCCCGTCTAGACTCCAGCGAATGGAAGCGTGCCAAGGCAGTTAATCGTCCAGTGTACGGTACCTGCGCAGACGACCTACTGCACCCCCACACTGCACTTTGGCAACCTATCTGCCGTGGAAGGAAGTGCTTTGGTGCCGTGGCGGGGGTGTAAAGCATTTCGGTCTCCGCGAATTCGTCATTGAAGGTAGGGGGTACCTTAGCACCTTAGGTAGGACTGCTCCGTGAAAGCGGGAAACCGTTTTACAATTTGCACATGGGGATAGCCAGGAGGTAATTCTTAGCTCCCTTCTCCTCTTTACCGGTAACACTGGTGATATCATCTCGAAGGCTTGAACACCATTATATAAATGGTAGAAACCCACGTCTTCGTCTAGAGATTAGGTTCGCTGTACACCACTCTCGAGTCTCGATATCCACTACATCTCGATAGCTCGATAACAGCATCCATACCCCGCAGCTCAAGTCTCACGAATTATTCAGCAACTGGAAGCCGGCATCTCCTTTTACACACAAATTTTCTTAACATCGCCAAAAAGCAGCACGCAAACATGCCCAAGCTCAACGGACAAGAAGTTGGCCAGATCGGCTACGGCCTCATGGGCCTCACATGGCGACCCCAACCCTGCTCAGAGGAGCAGGCTTTCGAGGCCATGCGCACCGCCCTCGCCAACGGCAACAACTTTTGGAACGGCGGGGAATTCTACGGAACGCCAGAGTACAACAGCAGCACCCTCCTGGAGCGCTACTTCACAAAGTACCCCGAGGACGCCGACAAGGTCGTCCTGAGTATGAAGGGCGGCCTCATCCTCCCGCAGCTCAAGCCCGACGGCTCGCCCGAGAACGTCCGCCGCTCTCTCGACAAGATCCTCTCCCAGCTCGGGGGCAGGAAAAAGGTTGACATTTTCGAGTGCGCGCGGCGGGACAAGAATACGCCTCTCGAGGTCACGTTCGGCGTCATTCAAAAGGAGTACATTGACACGGGCAAAGTCGGGGGCATCACCCTCTCCGAGGTCTCGGCGGCCACCATCCACGAGGCCGTCAAGGTAGCCAAGATTGTCGGCGTCGAGGTCGAGCTCAGCTTATTCTCCACCGACCCTCTAACCAACGGCGTCGCCGCCGCGTGCGCGCAGTACGGCATCCCCATCATCGCCTACTCGCCCATCGGTCGTGGCATGCTCACGGGCGAGGTCAAGTCGCTCGACGACATTCCCCAGGGCGACATGAGGCGGCACATGCCCCGCTTCCAGCCCGACACGTTCGACATCAACATGAAGCTCGTCGAGCAGGTCGAAGCCTTGGCTAAGAAGAAGGGCGTCACGCCCGCACAGCTAGCCATCGGCTGGGTCGTCGCCCTCTCCAAGAGGCCCGACGTGCCCGAGATCATTCCCATCCCGGGTGCCACGACGGCGGCGAGGGTCACGGAGAATGCAAAATTGGTGGAACTCACCGAGGAGGAGATGGCAGAGATTGACGCGACGCTGGCCAAGTTCGAGGTCGCAGGTGGCCGCTACCCCGACGGTGCCCCCGTCAACACCTAAGACATTGAACGAAGCCGTATATAGAAAGCATTTTCAAAAACTAGTCAAATCTTTTGTCCCAAACGTTAGCTTGACATTTCCCTAAGCGTAGCCTGAATGTTTTGAATGAAGAAAAGCTTCGAGAAGCGGGCTCAGTGTTGCTAGTAAGGCGAAGATTTTATCCACAGAACGACCCGGAGGTCTTCAGAATTGCAGAATTCTTTTTTGATCATCATTGTGCCATTGGGTATCAAAGCAATAAGAATAGTACGTTGCAACTTACCATTTGTAGTCCGAAGCTTTCGGCTTCGCAAAATATTGTGGTTGGACTTGGGTGAGAGGGATGCAGTGTCGGAAGAAAAAAGTTCTTGTCTGGCCAAGGACATTTATGTATACGATGACTAAGCAAGCTATCCTCAATTCCTAGGCGGCCAACCGAGATGGTGGATGCTCTTGGTTTCCACTTACTTGACGGATACCTCAACCGATGGCTACTTGTACATAATGAGTATCACAGCAGTTCGGTCAGTGGACGGCGCAAGGAGTGTAGTCTTCAAGAAGTAGATTGATAGGCTCAACAACAACACGGTATCAGGGTATACAGCAACGCGCCTTTTACCAACAAATCGAATATAGTGGCTCTCGCCCCAGAAGGTACACGAAGAGAAGTTGGCTTCTACACCATCGCTCCATTCAAACCGTGAGCCTCAACCCTATTGACCAGCTTCTTCACGTTTGTCCACTCCTCCGCCTTGAGGTCGTCTCTTCCTCCTAGGCCAGACGCCACCTCGAACACGGTCAAAACTCCGTCGATACCTCCCGTAGCCAGACGCTTGCCCTCGGAAGGCTCCCACACAACCTTGTTCAAGCTCTTGGCAAGCATCGTTCTACCATCCTTGCGAGAGCTCGGGGATATTCTCGCGACAGGCTCCTCAGTCTCCACTGTGATGTCCCATAGCTCGAGCCAGCCTGCCCCATCAACCAGGGCGAAAACACTGGGCTTGATCGGCGACCATTGTGCATCATATACCACGTCTTCTCGCACAAAGTCGATAAGAGGTGAAACAGTCGGCTCAACACCTGCTGTCGATGTCGCCGCGGGTGCGCGAACCTTCCACAGTCTGACGCTCCAGTCGAGAGAAGATGAGAGAACCAAGTCACCAAGATCCACAGGACCGCGGGCAGGATGGAAGTCCACCGACATGACCGGTGCCGTATGTCCCTTGTAGCTGACACGAGCATCAACTCCGGCCTTTGCGCCGGCTCGGTCGTATCTGTGGCAAGGGAAAATAGTGCCCTCCTCACTGCCAACGAGGAAAAACGTAGGATCCGTTTGGGGAAACGCTAAAGAGGTCGGGCTGATATCGTCCAACTTGTAACCGGGCGGTGCCTTGAGCTCCAACAGCTCTTGCGGCTGGGCAAAGACGTCCATGCTCCAGCCGCAGACCACACCGTCCGTAGAAGTTGAAATGATGTTGTTGGCGTTTTGAGTACCCACGATATCGACCGAATAGATGGGGTGCGTGTGGCCGTATCCTGTAAGTGGCGTCTTCTGGACGGGTGCCGACTTTGCTCTCATATCCCACAGCAGTACTTGGCCGCTGTAAGTGCCACCGATAATGAGGTTTTGGTGATAAGGGGAGAATTTCGCTGTGAGAACATCAGACTGTGCGTGAAAAACATACTCTGGTCTGTCACGCAGAGCCAAGCTCCAGACTTGGACCAGGCCATCCGGCTCGTGTGGTGCAGTTGGGTTTTTGGTGTACGATGCCAGCATCAGCTCAGAATGATGATGTGAGAAGTCGATGCTGCTGATCATGCGTTTCTTCGACCATCTTTCATCGAAGAACTGGGCCACCTCCTTGACTCTCCGCCGCCCTTTGCCACCAACGTTGCCGCTATCATCGTCATCATCATCCACATCTTGACCTTGGAGGGCGTAATCTGTGAGAATATCGTATTCCTGATCAAGAGCTCTCTCGATCACCTTCGTAGATTTCTCCAAGAATTCAGAAAAGTCGGGGGCGCCAGTAACGGCTTCCAGCTCCTCGGCAGTAAGCTTGCGCATGGGATAATTCGCCTTCGCCGGGGTATCGCTAGGAATCACACCGTCCTTGAGCAGATCCAGCGAGGCCTTGAGCTCCTCTTCCACCTCCTTTCGAATGTCCTGTCGCAGTTCTTCTTCGCGATCCCGCTGCCTTCGGCTCAGTCTCTTGCTGGGCGTCGATGTGATCGGAGGGATGTCTTCGGTGTCGGAGAGTGACTGGGCTCTAGGTCGGGTTGGCGAAGTCCATGCTTCCGCCGTTTGCACTCCCTTGCTGTATGAGTGCACTTCCTTGACAGGAGATGGGGGAACTTCGTAAATTGTCGTGAGCGGTGCCGTCGTCAGACTCAGCTGCACGGGAGTTGCAACAGGAGCTGGGGCCGGAGTTGGTTGGCCATTGGCGGGGGTTGCGAACTCCGATGTTGCAGTACTCAACTCTCCTGCGCTGAGGACGCTGTTGGGCCGGCTTCCCCTACGGGCCGGTGACGCAGCTCCTCCCGTCGTTGATCCAGGTCGACTTTCTCCCACCAAACTGTTGATCAAGGTTTCGATGTCGCGGCGGTTCTCGGCTCGGCCTGGGATGGGGGAGACCAGCTATACAACACATCAGCAGATTGCATCGGTGAAGGGACCGGCTCATCTCACGTCGCCCGGGCTTCCTGCACTTTGCCGGCTTGCTGTTGCCTGAGTTGCACGAAGCTCTCTCTGTCGCTTAAGCTCCGCAAGCTTAGCCTTCTTTGCGAGGATTTCATCTCGTCGCTGTTGCATTTTGTCTTCTCCTTAATCCCATCGCGGGACTGGCCGACTGTGGGGTGGATTGTCGCGGGGCAGACACTGACGTTGCAAAATCAGGTAGGTAGAGTCGAGAGGTCGCAGGTGAGGCCGAGAGCCGGGTGCACAAAGGTCAACTAGGAGCTGCCTTTTTGTTGACGATGTCGGATGCCTGTGACAGTGTTTGGCAACCGCAGCGACGTTCGGTTTGATGGGGATTCCCTTTCCATGCGCGTTGTCCAGTCGCGATTCCAGAGGGACCCCTGTTTGGAGTCAGGTACAGCTTCAGCCCAAATGCTGCAGAAAGATACCTCGTTGGCCCCTGCATTAAAGTTGACCTCCCGGTCCCCATTTGCTAGTAGCTTGGTGGACATTTCCACCAAGAAGCAACTAACCTTGCAAGGCAAGTGACGCACGTGATTGCGACAGATCGGCAAAGCGTCGGCGAAATTGCACAGCGGTATTCGGTCGCTGAGGTAAGGAAGGTCCCTCAGCGGCACAGCGGCTGGGTGCAAGCTTCTGGGCAGCCCACCTCAGTCAGCATGGCGACGGGCGCTGGGCGCTGGCAATAGGCGGTCCATTAGCACTGGCGCTGGGATGGTGTTCCCCGTCCGAGCTCCAGACACCCGGGAGTGACTTGACGGCCAACCAGTGGAAAATCTGCGAGTTTTCCCGAGCATATTTTCAACCTGGAAAACCTCACACCCTGCGTCCCCTAACGTAATTCCCTCGACAGAGCTCCGAAAGGGTCAATTGGCAGCCATTGTCAACCCGCGCACTGTCCTTTCCATCGTTCGCTCCCTCTCGAAAGCAGTCGCGCAATCCAGGCAATTGCCCGCAATGTCTTCCTCCTCAGGAGTTAACGTACGTCGTGTCCTTCGCCCTCGTCCGCATATTGCGGAGCACCCAGCCACCTTGTCTCCCTAAGCCGACCGACGACCCTCCATCGCCACGCCAATCGACCATGAGCATTGAGCTTGCGCTTTCGAGATTATGAACAACTCGGCTGATTGATGGATTTACAGGTGCTGAGATACACGGCCCTTGGCTTGGGCGTGTTCTACGGCTTCACACATCAGCGAACGATCACAGCAAGCCAGAAGGCTGCCGCCGCCACGAAGGAGTACGAGCGCAAGCAGAAGTTGATCGACCAAGCAAAGGCCGAGTTCGCGAAGAAGAGCCAGCCCGTTACGGCGGCGGCTGCTGATGCCGGTGGTGCGTGTCTCCCTCGATAAGACGTGGCCGGCTTTTGGACATCGCAGTCCTCGCCCGTCACTTCTCGCCCTTGTCGGCAGCTCGCATAGAACTCATGAAAACTGACATCAGCCACAGCCAACGTCGACCCGATGGACCCCAAGTTCGACCTTGAGGCCTACTTCAACAACCTGGTGAAGCAGAACCCGTAGACTGGATAACCGAATGGGGGGAGGGGACGGCTTGCACAACGGATAGACAGGGTCAGGATTGGGGATACGCCTGCTCACGGAGAACACGAATAGTCCTAACAAGGGACGAATAATCTGGTCTTTTGGCAGCAGTAGGTGCATGGTAGGCACCACGCCCGATGTCACCGCATAGACATTTCCTTACGTCTGTTTACCGGATGTACATGTGTACAATACGCTCAACTAGATGACAATTCCAAGGAACGAGCCATTGGATTCCATCAATTACTTATATTTCTCGCGCATCAACTTCCCAATCTCTGAGCCTGAGCGGGTTCTATATGCATTGACAATCGACACATAGGTCCATCGTCGCCTGTAAGACAGTGAAATGCTGCTTTCCCTGACGTTGCTGCAATTGGTTCCAGCAGATGGCTGAAGGTTATGGTAGCTGTATATTGGCCGACTGAACCATAACATCAAACTCCGACGGTATATCTAGGTAGAAGCTGGGCAGCCATTTGGAGGCTTTCGCTCGTGACACAGATTAGATGACTCGTCTGATGCGCATTCATCTCTAACAGTATGGTGCTGTATGGTCATTCATCAACTTTCCAGGGATCTCCATGGAATGCGCCGAAGCTGCAATAGTGGACTGAGTATTCTTATTGCCCGTTGTGCATGATGCGTCTTCTTCGATAACGTACTTTATGGACCGCATACGCCATCTACTCTCGAGGCCGGGATCCGGCACTGACCCGGCCACCCCGGACGGGACGGGATCCCTTAGCCCGGGATATTCTTTGTCCGAGACACGTGAC